TCATGATTCGTTTCGTTTATGCTGCTCTTTCTGCTGCAAACAAACAGAAGCTGTCGCAAATTTATGCACGAGTGCAACTCCATCTTGCGGTACTCGTCAAGTTACAGATGACTGGAGTATCTATCTCCGTTGCTCTAAAAGACCGTGAGAAAGAGTTTTGCTTTGGCAAGAGCTAAATAATAATAATTGATGATTCAAAGCGCTCACCTGGAACTGTAGGATGTTTTGAGTAGCGGTGTCTCAACATCGGTTGTGTACGGCGCTGGCTCTGTGTGTTGTACCGTACCCGATGCCAGCTCACTGGGCCAAAAGTCCACTTTTGGTGTCATTTGTTTCGGTTGGAAATGTGAAATTGAGTGCTGAATACCGCCACCGTGTCGTAGTTGATGCACTGGTGCTGCAGCAGGCAGCACCGCCACATCGTTTTTTTCTTGGCCATGCGGTAGCAGGAAAGTCTGCCCAGCAGTAAAAGTACCGCTTACAGGCCTGTGCAGTGAATTTTTATTAAACAGAAATAAGACATAAGATTGATCATACCGGATGGCATGGCATGCAGTTGCCTCCTAGAGAATTATTTCTACATAAGCTCCTAGCACATTTTCTACAGTGGGGTAACGGCTTCAGGGGACATCCCACTAGTGGGCTGAAGGTCTACAAAGAGATCGTGTGCCATTGGGCACTCCCTTCTTCTAAAAGAAATGAAATTAGAGCAACAAGCATAAGAATTGCCAATTGCCTGACCTCCTGGTGATGCAACAGCACCGTTCGGAGCGATTAACTCAGCCAGTACTACACCAGGATTGCCGATACGATCATGCGCTTTTGTACTAAACTTGAAGCAGCCAGATCGCTAACAGTATGAATAGCTGCTGCGTTACAGTTAACACATAGATCGGCGCTGTTTTGGGCCTTTCTTGAAAAACGGCGTCGGCTGGTACGGTGCGGTGTTTCTTGATTTGATTTATTACTACCATTATTATTATAATCATTGTTACCTTTTATGCGTTTTTGCATAATATGCAAAAACACATATTGTGACGACCCCGGTGTGTGTATGTGTGTGTGTGTCTGTCCGGGTATTTCAACTCGGCACCCAGGCAAGCTCCGGCACCAAAATCTTGCGAGTGGGTTCCCGGCCAAGTGCCACCCCAGGACCGCGGTATCAACCCTCAAGCACGTCTAGGCCCCGCTTAGGAACGCCTCAAAGTTTTGGCGGGAAAATCGCTAACTCGAGAACCAGAAAAGCTAGAAAGCTGAAATTTT